CCATTCAACTGATAAAGAAAGTAAAAGAGAGCAAAAATCTTTTGAATGTGAAATCGGTGAGGAAAAACCAGATCTTCCATACGATGCAGAAGTTAAGAAAGAAAAAATTTCAAACAAAAGTGAAAAGGACGTGGTAACTAAAAAGCTTTCACGTAATGCGCAAGTAAAGAAAAAGCAAATTCCCAACGAATGTAAAATCGAGGAAAATAAACGGAATCGTCCTTATGGTTCACAAATTAATATTGATCAAACCTTGATCGCAGAATCCAATGGTGAAGGCCAAAGCCCTTCTGATGAGAAATCTGAACTTAATAAACTGATAGTTAGTGAAAATGACAATAAGATAGATGTTTATGAAGCAAATTCAACTTATACTCATCTAACTCAACAAATGGAAGCAGTTGTGGAGCGAGTTGAAATACTTTCTTCTGAAGTAAAAACCACAAATGTGAAATTAAGTGCCATTTTAACAGAATTGCAAGATCATCATGGCATTGTATCGAGTGTCGCAGAAATTTCCATCGATCATCCCATGGTGAGTTTGATTCATTTACTCTTTCACTTATTTTTAAGTATATAATATATAATGCGTATCTCACCTTTTATTATATTTGCACACTATCACAGGAATCTGAATTGGAAATGTCTAGTATTTCTTCTACTCTTTTTGAAGATGTTTGGCAAAAAGTTTTTACACGGGATGTTGCTGCAGATGTAGACAATAAGGAGACCATTAGCAAACATGCAAGCCTCGAAAAAGTGATTAACTTTGTTTTAACTGAAACCCCAACAGCTGCAAACCTTGATGACAAGCTCGTGGAGAAAAATCTAAGCAGAGAGAAAACAATCAATTTTGCAACTATTAAGGAGTTAACAAATAGTGAACAACCAATCTCTACCACAAACAATTTGTTCACTAGCAAAGATTCTGAGAAAGGTTGTGAATATAATAGATTGACTGAAGCTACAATTAAGTTGACTGCCATTCAAACATCTGGTGTTATGGAACCAGACGCAGCGGAACCAGAACTATCACACAACATAAACAAATTGTCGTTAAGCAAAAAATCTGTGAACGAAAAAAAAATGCAGTTGGATGACAAATTAATATCTTCTGATAGTGATTCAAATGCTATAGAAATAATAAAAGCTCCACCTCTTTCAACTCATCCTCAGAATATGTCGACGAAAAAGAAAAGTAATATTAATCAGATTTCAGAGATAAAGAATACCTCTCCAAGTTCATCTAGCATGCATGAATCGAGTCATGTTGAATCAGATATGTTACATCCACCAAAATTCGTTCATCTTAAAAAACTCGGTTCAAACGGCGAAAACAGAAGAGCATTTATTTTTACTGTGGAAGATTTGAACACTAATAGATACGGAAACAAACCTTTTCTCGAACTTGAAAAGTTAACTACAGATACAGAATCTTATGAAAAGAAATATTTAGATAAACCAAAAAAACTGCCTGTCATTCGAAAACTAAATACATCACAAATAATCAAACCATCCGTTTCGCACCACCCCACTAAAGTCTATACAGAGCAACGTAAAGCTAAAGCGGAAAATATAAGAACGAATAATAAATCACATCAAGGAGCTGCAGAAAAAGAACGTACTCGTTCTTCGATATCCAAATTAGAACATTTAATCACATCAATGGTGTTTACAGTACGAGATTATGTAAAATTTCTACACGGTACCGCTAGAAAGCCAAAACAAGATAAACCAACACCTCAAACTACCTCATCTACAAGTGACTACGTTATTAATAGTAAGAAAAGAGCCAACAGTCGAGTTCCGCATAATTCACTAGCGTCCAGTCTTTCTGGCTCCAACAAAAACAAAAAAATGAAACAGCATAAAAGCTCTGAATCAGTAAATCTATCAATGTCCAGTGATGATTCCCTATCTGACAAAAAGAAAGAAAATAAGAAACACCGAGTATTCCGAAGCTCCTCAGAAATAAGTCAGATCGCTAAGAAAGAGAAAAAGCATGATGACCAAATTTCTTCATTTACATTTAGTTCGACAACATCGAGCCATGTTAATGATAATATCCACAATGTTTCAACATCCAATGCCATTACACAAACCTCAGTTCCTAAAATTGTTCCTGAAGTGAACAATTCAGTTTTACCTACAAACGAAACAACCACTAATCCTTGTCAAAAGAAAAAAGTGAATTTCGTGAAGGAAGACACAGTTACACCGGTGCCGTGTACTTGCATTATACAAGAACGTTTGGTGTACCCTGCATCGTCTAGTGGTTCAGAGGTTGAAATACCAACATATAAAAGCAATAAAGAAGCTGAAAACTTAAAGAAATATTTTGATCACGCAGATGAGTTACAACCCACTTCAGATACATCTGAATCAGAATCTGTGGAACGTGAAGAAGTCGGTCACTGCAACAGAGATGTACAAACCACCTTCTCACACATTTATTCGAACTTAAAAGAAACTTGTTTGTATTGTACGAATGGCTATCTTCCAGTTTATGATGAACGTATAATACATGTGATATATAAATTTATCAAAGAGTACGATCCCAAAGATATTGGTATAATTGTTAATATCGCAAATAATAATCTATTTCACATTAAAATTATTTTAATGTCATCTGGACGTTCAATAAGTTGTTTCTACAGCACTATAAATGGTCTGCAAGAAGCTAAGAAGAGTGGCATTATGGACCACTTCCCAGTGTACTTTGTGTGAATCACATATGTATCTGGCGACATATTTCGTATTACATTGAAGAAACATAAGAGAAATTTTATTGTGGGGAACGCTTTGCAGAATTAAAATTTAAAAAAAAATTTTAACACATTATATATATACAATATTCCAAAAAAATTAAATGTATAATAAATTAAATTAGATGTGTTAAGAATCAAAAAAGTTTATTTGTTTTTAATAGAATTGAAATGGTAGGCACCCAATTTGTTGATCATCATAATAATTTGTAATTCATAGAATAAAAGCTTGAGGATATAATTCTCTTCAAGAGTTAGAAAGAATCTATTTTTTGAATACCAGACATATAATTTGAAAGGTGTCTAATAACGTGCCATAGAGTTATAGTAGTTACCTTTTATGGCTTATATGGTTTACTATTATTGATTACAATCCTTGATTGCATTGTATATTAGTGTTTTTACCATTATAAGTTTTAAGTTAAATACTATAATTAAATTCTATAATTTTTGTATATTAACCCTCTGTGTGACTCTATAGTATAAAATAAAACGTGAAAAAAGTAACAGATTTCTCCTATTCGATCAATTGGAAATATTCCGATTCAAACAGATGCTAGGTACTATATTTGTATTAATTCCAGTACTATTATTATAGATATAACAACACTAGCTCAGAAGTTGTTATGGCTTTTCCGTAAAATTGTAGTTTCAATAAAAGATGATGATATATAATAATAATAAGATGTGATGAATAAACCATCAGCAACAACAGAAAAGTACTGTATATGAAAAACTGTTCTAACTTTTTGATGAGAAAGGAGAAAATCCCTAGCATTTTTCATATATTGGATTGAAATACTTTCAACGAAAAAAAAAGTACTATTATATTAGTACTTTTTGTCTTTCATCAATTGCCAACTGAGGTAATTTCTTAGCCATTTGATGATTGACTTTAGTAGGCGACATCAATTTAATAAGCTTCCTATATTATTTTACGTAGCATTCAACGTCTGGAGGCCTAACACTATTGTGTTCAAATATACAATGTATTAGTACCAAGCGTCAATCAACGCTCCATTGAAATTGTATGTATTATTTCGCCGGTACCAATGAAGATAGGTGTGTTACTCAAATCTTTCATCTTGGTTTGATGCGAGACCTATCATAAACCTCTGTTACAATGTGGGCTGTAGCACTCGTAGGTGAATATGTAACTCCACGCCGAATGAATGATAAACTTCTGAACATTCTTCCCGTGTAAGTTTGGGTATTAACCACAGCCACAACGAATTCAACGTCATATGGTCAGAACAGCAGAAGCTGCGGGCCAACTGAGCTTGGCCAGAAGTAGTACCAGAATTTCACCTCTGATCAGGCGTTGCAACTACATACCTTACTTGCTATCATTTGCATTCCATAACACAAGTGCCAGACTGGCACTGGAATTTTAACCGCCTCCTACGACTGGCAATTCTAACTGCGGGAAAATTCTGACCCCTTCTCCGCAGCGGGCATCAATTTAATAAATAATATTAAGCATATAAGCAAGTAATAAATTATTATTATTATTAAATAATTTTATATATTTCTATTCACATGTATACTAAGGATAGCAAAATGAATATAAAATATCCACAGTACTCATCCAATTTATCTGTTAGCATTTCTCTCACATATTACTTTATGAAAAATGTATGAAATATTTCAAAATCTTTGTATTATTTATCCTTTGTATTAGTGTGCATACATCACAATATATGCATATAATTGTATTTAATATTTTATTCATTATGAGATATTTTCAGAAAATATAATCATTTTAGTTAAAAATTTTATTCTGCATGTGTTGCAACGAGACTATGCTCCTGTACATAACCTAAAAATAAAACTTTTTAATTGCAATTTAAATAATTATTCCAAATTATTCATTATTACATTAGTACGCAATTAGTAGACACTAATTGGGATAATGCAATTTCTCCTAAAAACGAAGTAAAACATTACTAATTATAATAACCATTTCGTAAAACCAACACAAATTGCATATTAAAACCCCACAATAATTTTTATTGAGATTTATATAAATATTTAAATATATATAAATAAATTCAACATTTGGCGAACCAAACCACAATTTACTCTCACTAAAGTACTATCTAACTAAAATAAAAACTGTATAGAAAAGTAAAACTATCAGCTAACAGCACCAAAACTTTAAACATTCGACAAAAGTGATATATAACAAAAGAAAATGGTCAAAACCAGTAAATGTGCTCGATAACAGCACTAATAAAAAACAACAAATTTCTAGTTATGCTGAATAATTTCTAAGAAAAACAACTGTAAATACATTTTTCTCTTAAAGACATGTACTTGTGGCTTGTTTTGTTTGTAGTTGAAAAGATTGAATAAATATAATTGATTTTATATGCTCTCGCGCTCGACATCACGTGTATTTTCATATATTCCGAGAACGAACTTATTTTTGGAAAAGACAGTAGCAGTGTAGTTTACATTATTCTTTATTATCTTATGTCTTCCCAGATATTCATTTATGGTCTATTTAACAAAAATATTTCACAATAAACAGTGCTGGAGTTGGCAGAATATGCAATCCAGACATTTCCATTTCAGTGAAAGTGGCAAGTGAAAACAGACTCCAAAATGTGGGTAGTTGAATGTTGCAGGACATAACATCCTGTGGAAAAAATATGGGAAATACTAAAACAAAAACCTGAAATGAGTTAATAAAAGCTGTAAAAACAATGTCTGTAAAATGTTTCCGGAGCCAATACGATTCAGCTCTGTTTCATGTTAAAGTACAAATAATTAATAAAATTTCAAAAAAATTAAATTGTAATGACCTTTATGTTTTAATATGAATGTATGTGTATATTGATGTAATGAAAATAATAAAAATATTTTATTAAAATTAAGTTCTATTTGTTCCCATTCTATTTATAAATAAAAAGAAGATTAGATAAGGTTTTTAGTAGCAGACATAATATGTTCTTTACGTTCTTGTAAACTCGTCTAGACTAATATTTTGTCGTAAAAATTATTTAGATGACAATAGGATAACAGTATTATTTCTACACTTAAGAACACTAAGTGTTAGTATTTATGCTCTGAATTCACTTTCTGTTTATATCTGATGTCCTTATTTAGAGACTTATTTTAATTTTTTAAAACAAACATTTTTGTTGAATTATTTAATAAAAATTATTTCTAAGATTGTTAGTCTATTTATTTATTTAGTTTTTTGTTATAAATATTGCCAATGCTATATGAAACTGCAGTTGTATCACAGTTACTTGCCATATGGGCTTCAATTATTATTATGCGAGCTTTTTACGTGACCTTTTCAGATTAATCAAGAAAACTAAGAATTACGGATTAGACTAGTCTATTCTGATTCAGGCACTTATAATTTCTTTTTTCGATTTGGCTACAATGTTCAACCGACTAAGTGCTTTAATTAAAATTAGATAGTGTTCTACAATCAAGACAGATTTCGTTATGATTTCATTCCAATATAACACAAGTCTATTTATTAATGAATTTTAACTGTAAATTAACAAAACTCCAATTTCGCACACTTCAGAAAAGTATGGCTTAG